AATTGCGTTTTGGACATATTCATCTCCAAGCCTATCCGCCAGCTTACCGCATTGAGTTCGTTGACCATCTTTTCCATTTCAGCTGTGCTGCTAGATATCAAGAGGATATCATCGGCGAAGCGGAGGTGTTGACTTTTTTGTCACTGATGGGTTATCCTCTTTCTTCCCAGTCGAGGTTCAACATATTGTAACGCAGCCGTGGAAAGCTTTGGGGATATGGTATCTCTTTGTCGCATCCCCTTTCCGACTGGAATCTTCAGCTTTCGCTCGAACAGCTGGATGAATGTTGAGGTGTTTGAAAGGCACTGTTCGAGCAGGTGGACGTAAGCGGGATCAACTCCAGCTTGCACAAGAGCATTTAGAACAGCGTTGATCTCCACAGATTCGAACGCCTTCTTATAGTCCACGAAGAGAAGGCCAAAGGAAGGCGATATTCTCGGCTTCTCTCAATAAGCTGACTGACTGCGTGGATGTTATCCATGCACGAGAAGTTTTTCCTGAATCCAGTTTGCTCTACTGGCTGGTATTCGTCCAAGATGCGTTCCACGCGATTGAGCAGAATTTTCGTGAGTGACTTGTATACCACCGATAATAGGCTGATGGAACGGTAGTTGGAGATGTCTTCCCGCTGGCCTTCCTTGAGAAGAAGAATGGTTCTTGATTCTTTCCACTGCTCTGCGGTAGTGGTTTTTCAATCTGAGGTAGTGGGTGAAGTGCTCCGCAAAGAGGGTGTGAAGAGCGTTACTTCCAGAGCGGAGAAAATCCGCAGGGATATTGTCCAAGTCTAGAGCTGTACCTTTCTTCTTGCTTCTTATCGCATTCGCCACTTCCGAATCTAGGATTGCGGGAGGCTCTTCGTAAGGCGGCATCGAGCATTCAGGCACAAAGGTGAAGGAACGAAAGAGTTCTGCGTAGAAATCTTGAACGACATTCTCCATAGAATTTCTAGACGTTTGCACACTTCTATCTTTGTCCAAGAGAGCCGACATCACAGCTTTCTGATCGTTGAGAACTCGTTTGCAGCGCCTGATGCTCGATCTCGCTTCGGCTGCTTTCAGTAACTTGGTTCTCCTGCACTCCCGAAGGGATTGCTTGACAGCCACACGGCAGGCTTTGTGTGCGAGGACGTTTTCCACGTGGTTGGCGTTGGGATCCTGTTTGAGTGCTCTCCTTTTTTCCAAGAGGTATACGCCAAGAGCATTCAACCTCGGAATTCGGGCTAGCTGTGGACGACGAGAAATGACTGCACCTTAAGCAAACCTTTTGTTAGGTGTTCGCAGTCTTCTGTGGGATCCTCTGAAAGACGCCAATCATGAGCTTTGATGGCAGATTCGAGTAGCTCTGTATCAAAGGAGGGAGTCTTGAAGTGTGCGAGCCTGTGCGTGTCGCGCTTGAATATCCACTTGCTGAGTCATATTTTGCGCACACAAGGTGATGATCCGAGCCGGTGTCAAAAGAGGGCAGCACGGATACATCAAGTAGACTCCAGCGTCGATTAGTGAGAACATGAACTATCTCCGTATGTGTTCGGCCACTTGGACTCTCCCAACTCCATCGTCGCTTAGTTGGCTTTTCGAACATGGAGTTTCCATGGAAAAGGCGGCACGCATATAGAAGGTTCAGAAAGAGTTCACCGTTTTCGGTCCTGTCGCCGGAGCCATAAGGCCGAGTCTCCAATCTCCGCTGCAGTTAGTGCCCACGACGGCGTTGAAGTCGCCTACGACATATTTATAGTAGCTCTTCTCTTCTTGAATCGTCTTCTCCAAAAGTCTATAAAACTCTTCTCGCTCTTCCTCTGCCGCCACCGATGTAGGTGCATATGCATTTATGACAGAAATTGCAACTCGGTCGTTCGTGCGCAGACCGAGGACGGCAAGACGCGGGCTGACGATGTTATGCGAGTCTACTAAGTGGGCGATTGTCGAGTTGATCAGAAATCCAACTCCGCCAACATTGCCGTTCGCTCTGGATCCGATGATGAGCAGCTCGTTGTGGTCCGTTCTTGGAATGGTTTCCGTTCTGCCTTTCGTCTCCTGTAGTGCGATAACATCATATTTAACCAGTCAGCTACTTAGCAAAAGCATCCGAAGGCTGGCTTCCGATGCTATAGTGCCGCAGTTGTACGAGCAGATAAAAAGGTAGTCCATGTGTCGCGATTTGGGGGGTTGTCCACGTTTTCGGTTCCGATGACGTCCTGATTCCCCTGCGAGATTAGATGGCCCCTCATCAGTAGAGGCTTCCCCCAAAGGCCGTAGGGGAGCATATCCGATGTGCGCAGGACTTGGGCGTAATTGTAGCTGTATGAGCGTTTGTTTGGCCTCGGTTACTCCCTTATTCCTTGCCAGGGTTACAAGGAAACTGCCCATACGACAGGCAACGCGTACTGCGTGACCATTTGTACCNGTAGGGTAATGCATTATTGCCAGTAAACCGAATACGGCTAGAAGAACAGTTTTATAACATTGTGTAAAGATATGTAGAAAATCAGGCCAAGTCGTCGTTGGTTATGGGCTCCTCCTTCAACCAAAGATTGAGAAGATAATTTGGAATTAACGCAAGTTTTAGTACACGTTCTATTAGGTTGATGCATAATTATTGCGGATTAATTCCAGCAAGTTTTACTCATAGAAACTATAGAAATACTAAGCAAAGACATATTCAAATAATTACTCCGGAACTTATTCACCATCTACGTCAAGCACTGGTTCCCATTGATTAGTTAGTCGGATCCCAAAAGCGAAGAAGTTTTGATCCTTACGCGCGATCCACGCCTTGACATCGGCCATCAAGTCATCCAAATCGACGTAACTTCTATCTCTAGCCATTTTTTCGATGAATGGTTGACGAGATGATCCATAAAAGTTTTTGCTGGTGAATATGGCAGATTTAGGGGCAGATCCCATTTCTTGCTTGGCTTTGGCTGATTATTTCATCGCCGAAAATTTACTGAAATCGCGGAATGACTGTGCCGTCTTCCAATCTTTCTCGAAGTAGTTAAGCCTAATTTCGCGAATATGCGGATAGTTTTTTGAGTATATTCTTGTAGAGGAAATTAAGTAGATCATTTCTAGGAAAAACCCGAACTCAATATTTAAATTCTATCGAGAGAAAAAAAGCCGCGAAAAAATCCGCAATAATTATGCATCAACCTAATATCTTGAATTCATGGCCAATTCTTCCGCATGAAACGGTACATTTGAGTAAATTTCTAGCCGTGGTGAAGGCAAATCGTGATCGTACTAACGGCTTCCTTGGCACACCTCATCAAATAGAATTTCTGTTTTATAAGCTGCTTGGAAGGTAGACACAATTTAACCATCGGGAAAACTCTTGCCTGAACCTTTGACGCTCGCTGTGGTATGAAGTTGAGTGCTCGATAAATCACTGGTAATTGATTTCTAGTTTTATTGATCCAGTTGGTTATTGAGAATTCCGAGCATCTTCGATTCACATGGATTTCAGCTGGTGAACACCTACAGTTGTCCACGATGGGGCAATCCATAAGGCTCGCACTTTTGAAATCAGGGCGTCGCAATGGAACACGAATATCCTTGCGCCGTATAGCAGTACGTATTGCATCGGAAATAAAGTAACTATTGAAGAAAGAAGTTCGAGGAAGACCCAACGAATTGAGCGCAAGACTAAAGGATTTCCATTGTATTGGGCGATTCGGGGCTAGCTCTATCATTGCGGTATAGGATTGTCGTGTAATTTTTCCGAACGACTTATTTCTATTTTTGCGGTTGCTGCCCATCGATTGCAATGGAAGATTTCGAACACATGACCATTCCATGGTTGCAGGTATACTCGGTAAAAACACAGTCGGAGCTTGGGTAAAAACAAGGCAACCTATTCATCCACAGGATTCCATGTAACCCGTAATGCGTGGATGTTCGTTCCCCTCTCGAAGTTCCGATAGAGGAAAAGAAAAGCTAATTGCGCCGCATTCATCTTCCTGACATGAGCCTTTACTAGCGCATCGTTTACTATCTACTAATTTGTAAACGGTATCTCTAGTGAAAAGGTCACTTTCCGGTTCACATCTCAAGACTAGGGATTTCCAGCCCTGGTGATTGCTTTGCACAGGTGTGTTTTTGAGGGACAACTGAAGACAAGCTTCTTGTTTGGAAGAATTCATTTTGGAAACTTCCGAGAGGTGCATTTGGAACGGAGTATTGGAATTCTTGGTACAAACCGTAGAATACGATTTGACACCCTCGTGAAAGGGAGCCCAGCGACACCATTATTGCTATGATTTCTGCTAGCTGTCTACGTCGAAACGTTCTCGGGGTAGCTTTTTACTTAACCGTCCTGTTTTTCTACACCCTAAGGTGGTGATATACCATATTGTTATCAGGAGTTTGAACGGAGTGCCCACGATCACTGGTACATATAGAAACACGTAGCAACCAGTAAAGGTGAAGTATATCAGTGCGGCGACGGCGATTATGGCTCTTACTGACCAACTCTCAGGGTCAGTGATGTTGGCGCTGCAAAATGTGCAGGTAACGAATTTACAGAACGGCGGACAAGTAGTCTCTATCGCTTTCGTTGCCTGATTTTCTGATAATTTCCATCGAACGTTATGTGCATGTAGGATGACCTGTGGTGGAAAGGTTACTGTTTCTTGCCTAGATGGACTTCCGAATTCAACACAGTATTGGTCCCCGCAAAGTTCATAAGGTACAATCTCTGGAATTGTTAATTGGACACCCTCTTCTTTACATTGGGTATTGTACTGAGAAGTCATGTTCCCCAAAGCTAGACCGTCTATAATATATAAAAGGGTTAGTAATTGTAGTAAGAAATTAACTGAAAAAGTATTGAACTGAGTTGGTTCTCCCTTTTTCGTATTGGTCGTCATTGTAATTCATAGTTCTTCTATCTCAGAGATGATAGCGGTGTTCTTCCGCTGGATTAGTGTGATATTGAGATTTTCTGCTAAACAGAAGTTTCAGTGGCTTGATTATTTTGTGAATCCTCGTTATGTTTTGTGAATCGAAATTGATGGGGATAATAGCGCAATATCCATTGCGTAATATTGCACTGTTATCCACATCAACTTCTCAGGACAGGAGCAGATTAACCGGTCTTCGTTTTCGTCTTCTTGATGGTAGTCAAACTAGAGCCTTGGGTACCGTTCCCTGAGAATTTTTGAATGATTCGCACATTCCAGGTATGGCGAGGTTGCAATGCTTCACATACCAGAACTATAGCCCCCCTTTTTGGGGTTTGGGTGCATCCTTTTTTGGTCTTAACGTGTAGAGTGTGCTTTTCTCTAAGACTGGTGAGGTATTATGTTTGCCATATAAGCCAAAACTTCTCAGTAATTTGACAGGATGGTTCTAGAGCAGTGATTTTGTCGTCTCGTTTGCAGTGCGGTTATCACTTCTGGGGGCACCCAATCAGAATCGCTGTTGTCGTCTGTAGAAAATGTCCAAGGATACGACATAACTATTTTTTTCTGTATGAGGTCTATCGGACGGAGGATTTCGATGTTGTCAGAGTCCGTTTCTACGTAGGTTAGTGGTCGGGTATCAATCACGGCTTCTATCTCTATAAGTATCGTGGTTAGTGTGTTGAATGATACAGTAGACTCTGTTAACGTCTTGTGGAGGGAGTACTTTACGGATCTAATGAGCCTCTCATAAAAACCTCCCTGCCAAGAAGCGAAGGAGTTATATGCTTCCATTCAATCTCTTTATTGCTAAGCTCCTTGACCACCCTTGGGTCATTTTGTGCTTCCTGTATGTATTCATAGACAACTGATTCTCCTAACAGAAATGTAAGAGCATTATCACTCACTATAGACCTTGGGATTCCTCTTTTGTAGAACCGTCGTAGCACATTAAGAAATGAAATGGTATTTTGATCAGGTAGAACGTCCGCACCATCCTGGTTACCATGCAGGTTATGATAGATCCGCAGCACCTATCCCGTCCGTCTATGTCTACTTGCCCATTCATAGGGAGTGGCCCAAAGTAGTCCAGTCCTACAAGCTGGAATGATGCGGATCGGACTACCCTTTCTCGGCAAATCCTCTTGAACGGACGTACTTATGGGGGAGGTTATTGAATTTTTGGCAGTGTAGACATCTCCTAATGACTTTTGTACTTGGGAGCGGAGATGAGATATCCAAAATTCTTCACGGATTAGAGCCATTGCGTGATTAGTGCCGGGGTGATGATGCTGGTGAGCGTCGCGAATCATCATGGCCGCAAAGGGTCTCTTTTGTAGAACAAATATGGGGTACTTAGTCTCAAATCCGACTTGAGACCGTCCTAATCTTCCAAACCATCGCAAAATGCTGTCATTATGAGGACGAATATTAAGATCACTCAGAGACTGAAGAGAGGTTTTTGTGATTCTTGCCTTTAGATTGACCTTCCTTAATGAGAATCCGACCTGCCATTCTATTAGGTTGATGCATAATTATTGCGGATTTTTTCGCGGCTTTTTT